CTTATGAGACAAGCATGTTACTTTGTCTCCCTTGTTGACCCAGTAACATAACTGTGGGAATGATGGAACCAAGACACCTTGCATCTTTCCCAGCATGCCCTCATCATTTCACCCTAGTCCCTACCTGTTGGAAGGAACTATTGTAGAACATCTGATACATTACCAGAAATGAGACAACCTGAAGGGAATACTTGGATGCTGTTGTACATGCTAATTTCAGCCCCTGGAGATACTGGGGACCATGGGAAGTTTATTTCCCAGGACTCCCAGCACCACTGAACCCTGCCTATGCCCAGTGTTGTGGAACTATAGCCAGAATGGATATATGCATGCACAGTTACGGCTAGGATTAAGCCACTAAAGCGCAGCTGTAATACAAGAGCCAGTTAACAACCCTGTCCCTTCTTGTTGCTTGCTAGTGTTATAATATCCCCCCCATCAAGGAAAAGAGGATACTGAAAAGAAATGAATGAGATTGTTTGGATATTTCTCACTTCCATTACTGACAGCTACCTCTGTCCCCCCACCCCCTGAATCTGTGCCAAAGGTCCACCGAAAGCAAGGAATCTCTTGAAATGGCATTTACTGTGGATATGCTGCAGTTTTGCTGCTAAGAGATAGACGGTCAGTAAATGAAAAAGATAATGAGCCTCCAGAATAATAATGTCAGTGGACAAATGCGGGGTGGGGGTGGGACCCTAGACTTCTCAAATGATGTGTCTTTAAAAAAAATGGATGGAGCATTAAAATCAATTTCTATTCTTCATTCTGTGTAGCATGATACTGCTTGGAGTAGACTAAGAACATTTTGCAGGGGGCTGCTGGCATCAGACAATTTAACTGATTTCTCTAGTGCTTCAAGTACAGCCACAATGCACAAGGGAGTTTCCTGCAGAAATATGTTTCTGTTAAAGTGTCTGGATTGTTTTATTTTATTCTCAGCCAGGAGCATTCCTAGATAGGGACATAAGAGTCTTCATCCATAGGCCCATGACCCCAAGGTGTGTATGCTAATTTATAGGAAGAGAGGCAAATTCTGCCAACTTTCAGAGTGAAAAAACAAATAAACTCTGACTCTGACTGCGAGGACTCAGCCGGCCAGGGGCTGGAGTCTCCCTGGTGCAGCATTTGGCAGTGTTACCAGCTACCCTATAAGCCTGAGGACACCAACCTTGAGACCGTGGACACATTTTTGAGTGGGTGCCATGGGTGCTATTTCCTCTGGTCACTACTCTCCCCTGGATCAGTCCCTCACATAGAAATAGAAAGGAAGAAAACACAGACGTAAACTTCACTTTCCCAAATGATCTGGGTGAAAGTCAGATCCAGTAGAAGTGGCAGCCCATGAAACAGATTCAGATTAACATACTCTGAGTACCTCTCTCCCAGAATCATATTTTGCACCAAATGCAGCTTCCATATTGTCTCCAAAGGCAGCCCTACATTATACACTTTGCAGTAGTCTAGTCCTAATTTCTGCTTCTGCTGCTTCCTTCTCCTCTTCTTCCTCCTTCCTCCACTGCACTGCTGAACAGTCATCCCTGGCCATTGGCTATGCTGGTTAGGGCTGATGGGAGCTGTAGTCCAAAACACCTGGTGGGCACCAGTTTGGGGAAGGCTGTCATAGACAGGGTGTATGTGTGTGTGTGTGCCATCCTACTGAGTATCCTTTGCCATACCTAAATTAGCTCTATGGATTCTAGTCCATATCTACTACTTAGGGAGGGATGTGTTCTTGAGGGAAAGCTTTGTCTCTAGAGGAAATGATAGGGCAGCATCAGAAATCCGTCAGGAGGAACCAGTCGAGCTTTCTCTGTTACTTCTGCTTTTTTGGTAGAAATAAAAGAAAGGGTTTTTACCTGGAGCCTAATGATATAGTTCTGCCCTTCAGCTTACAGGTGCATATGAACTCGGCTGATAAGCCATTTCACAAAATTGCTTTCTCTGTGTTGGTGGAGCATTTCTTGCTTTTCAATAAAGCAGATGTGACACCTGGATGTATTTCAAATTTTGGCCCTGCAGTAATCCAGACAATATACCTGCATAAGCTGCTTTTGGGGTCTTAGTGTTTCCAAGTTACTACATTATGCTGATGGCGCCCACCTGAGAGGGGCTGGAACTGAGTTCTGGCGAGTTTCCGGGGAAAGCCTTGGCCGGGGAACCTGAGACTCTCATGAAGATCATAAGATCATAGAATCATAGAATCATAGAGTTGGAAGAGACCACAAGGGCCATCGAGTCCAACCCCCTGCCAAGCAGGAAACACCATCAGAGCACTCCTGACATATGGTTGTCAAGCCTCTGCTTAAAGACCTCCAAAGAAGGAGACTCCACCACACTCCTTGGCAGCAAATTCCACTGTCGAACAGCTCTCACTGTCAGGAAGTTCCTCCTAATGTTTAGGTGGAATCTTCTTTCTTGTAGTTTGGATCCATTGCTCCATGTCCGCTTCTCTGGAGCAGCAGAAAACAACCTTTCTCCCTCCTCTATGTGACATCCTTTTATATATTTGAACATGGCTATCATATCACCCCTTAACCTCCTCTTCTCCAGGCTAAACATGCCCAGCTCCCTTAGCCGTTCCTCATAAGGCATCGTTTCCAGGCCTTTGACCATTTTGGTTGCCCTCCTCTGGACACGTTCCAGTTTGTCAGTGTCCTTCTTGAACTGTGGTGCCCAGAACTGGACACAGTACTCCAGGTGAGGTCTGACCAGAGCAGAATACAGTGGCACTATTCCTTCCCTTGATCTAGATGCTATACTCCTATTGATGCAGCCCAGAATTGCATTGGCTTTTTTAGCTGCCACATCACACTGTTGGCTCATGTCAAGTTTGTGGTCAACCAAGACTCCTAGATCCTTTTCACATGTACTGCTCTCAAGCCAGGTGTCACCCATCTTGCAGGGCAGCAGTTGAAGAAGGAGCAAAAAGGGTTTCCTTGTGTGTGTGTGTTTCTTTGTGGCTGATTAGCTGCTCTCCCTTTCATCATTTAAAATTACTGAACCCCCCTTGGAAGCAGGAGAAGAGGGGGGAACTTTTTCTGGACTGATTAAACTTGCAGAAGACAAGTAAAGAAAAGCAATTCTCCACCGTCCTGAACCTGGGAGCGGGGTGTCAGGACAGACGTCTTCGGGAAGTTCATCGACTATAGACAAACGTTTTTGACAGATAGTTAAAAGAAGAGAAACATATTGATTCCATTGTTCCCCTTCGCATCTAAAAGGAACAAAATAGTGACAAAATATCTGAAAACGGAAACTTTGTTGTTAGATTTGCTTTAAAAAAAAAAAAAGAGAGAGATGGATACAAATAGAAGCTTTTTCCCCTAGAGGGAGCTTGTGAAACTGTTATTAAATTTGAACTGGGAAGCTTAGCAGCAGCAATAGATTAAGATCGTGGGAACAGACTCTGACCTTCAACAAGAATGTACTCGGAGGCTCTGGTGTTGGCCTTTTGTAAGACAAGTGCTTTATTGGAACAGTTACATGAGAAGATGGATTTGATGACTGTTGGGATCGGAAAGTTTGGACAGGCAGTGGGTACTTATTTAGAACCCACTCAGGAATTAACTCAGGAGTGTGCTTTGACAGATCAGATGAGGGAGGAGGTTGTTGCTGGACCTAGTGAGGCAGAGATGGAGGGAACTGTGGCCCAGCAGGAACATGAGTTGTTGGACTTGACGAATGAACCTGGAGAAAGCCAGATTTGGAGAGACAGAGTTCTGTTTGGCTTGGAGATGGGGGGCTGGATAGACCCCCCTATGCAGGGATGTTTTGACCTTTCAAGTCTGGTTTTGGGCCGGGAGGCGTTCGGAGTTGTGCGGGCCCTTAACTTTGGAGGGACTTTGAAACATGCTTTTAAATACCACATGGAGTTCAGTGTTGGCTTCGGAAAAGGGGCTGATCTGTCGAGAAGGGACAAAAACATTGTCAAGCTGGAGTCTCCCCGAGTGAAAGGAGCAGAAGACAAAGTAAAGCACAGGTATAAATATGAAGAAGATCTGCGGATGGGACATGGAAGAGATCCAAGGGCCTTGGATATAAGGTTACCAGGTTGATGGACTAGATGGATGGGATAGAAAGGACTGACAAAACCCAAGACCAGGAGAAAGAGACGTTGGATGAAGATTGGAAGATAGTTTTAAACAATTTATTTAGGAAAATCTTGTAAAAGTAAAGAGTATTAGAAAAATGTTGGAATGAAATTATTTGGCTTTAGCAGAAATGTTAAAAAGAATTATGTAAGAATATGTCATGGTTAAGAGAATTTGGTGTAAATAAGAATTAAGTTTTAGGGCCTTTTATGGTAAGATAAGGTTAAAATAGATTAAGGTAATCTAATGACAGAATATTATGAAAGATGGAAAGGATTTGCTGAGATAATTAACTAGAATACAAAAAAGGGAGGTGTGAGGAGGTCGATGAAACAAGGTAATGACAGTTAAGGATTTGGGAATATTGGATTTGTTTTTAATTTTTTTGTCTATTTTTGCTTTTTGATTTTGATGTATTATGTGTTCTGTTTTTTTTCCTCTTTTTGACCTTGTTTTTTTTTATTGATTTGTATTGTTTAAATGTTACTTGTTTTTTCCTTCTTTTTTTTCTTTGTTTCTTTGTAATCTTAAAATTCTCAATAAATATTATTATTTTTTTAAAAAAAGGAATATGAAGACGAGCAGCAAAGTCAGTCCTCAGGGAATGTGCAGGCGACCTTGGAATGGACAGCTCACGGAAGAACCCCGACCAAACCTAAGAGGAGGCGTGTAGTGGTGATAGGGGATTCCCTACTGAGGGGAACAGAAGCAGTGATCTGTGGGCCTTACAAGATGTTTCGGGAAGTGTGCTGTCTCCCTGGGGCTAAGATCCAAGATGTAACTGAACGACTGCAAGGAATCATAAAACCCACTTACAAATACCCCCTCCTCTTGGTTCATGTGGGAACCAATGACACTGCAAGCAATAGCCTCCAGAAGATCAAAAGAGACTACGAGGCTCTGGGCAGGAAATTGAAGCAATTAAATGCACAAATTGTCATCTCATCTGTCCTCCCAGTTGAACGACGTGGCCCAGGGAGAGAGGGAAAAATAGTGGAAGTGAACAGCTGGCTTCACAAATGGTGTAAACAGGAACGGTTTGGATTCTTAGATCACGGACTGCAGTTTCTTGAAGATGGACTTCTGGCAAGCGATGGGCTGCACCTCACAACGGTTGGGAGAAATGTTTTTGCCAAAAATCTCAGAAACCTCATCAGGAGGGCTTTAAACTGCCTAATGTGGGGGAGGGAGACAGTGCTCCTGAAGGTAGGAGTCTATCAATTGATGAAGATGATCTTCCAAATGTCATAGACCAAATGGAGCAAACAGCACGCAGACCTAGTGGTGGGAGGAAAAAATCCTTAAATAAGAGACACGGGGGAAGGATTAATGTCTGTACACTAATGCACAAAGCATGGGAAATAAACAAGATGAGCTTGAGCTCTTGGTACAGCAAACTAAATATGACATAATATGCATCACTGAAACCTGGTGGGATAAGTCCCACGACTGGAATGTAATAATGGGGGGATACAATCTATTTCAGAGAAATAGACCAGACAAGAAAGGAGGAGGAGTGGCGTTATATGTCAGGGATGTGTATACCTGTGAAGAGATCCAAGATTTAGAACCTCAAAGCCAAAGTGAGAGCATTTGGGTCAAAATTAAGGGAGAGAAGAATAACAGTGACCTCATTGTGGGAGTTTACTATAGATCCCCAAGCCAAACGGAGGACATAGATGATGCCTTCCTGGAACAGATGGCCAAGCATGCAAAAGGAAGGGAGATAGTAGTAATGGGGGACTTCAATTACCCGGATATTTGTTGGATGTCAAACTCAGCCAAGAGCATAAGGTCAAACAGATTCCTCACTGGCCTTGCAGACAACTTCATTGTCCAGAAAGTGGGAGAAGCAACAAGAGGAACAGCCATTTTAGATCTGGTCCTAACCAATGTTGATGACCTGGTTAGTGGGGTAGAAGTGGAAGTGCTCTGATGGTGTTTCCTGCTTGGCAGGGGGTGGGACTCGATGGCCCTTGTGGTCTCTTCCAACTCTATGATTCTATGATTCTATGATCTTGTATTTGTGCCTCTCATTTTTTTTTGCCCAAGTGCAATACTTTACATTTTTCCCTGTTAAAATTCATCTTGTTTGTTTTGGCCCAGTTCTCTAATCTGTCAAGGTCGTTTTGAAGTGTGATCCTGTCCTCTGGGGTGTTAGCCACCCCTCCCAGTTTGGTGTCATCTGCAAATTTGATCAGGATGCCCTTGAGTCCATCATCCAAGTCGTTGATAAAGATGTTGAATAAGACCGGGCCCAAGACAGAACCCTGTGGCACCCCACTAGTCACTCTTCTCCAGGATGAAGAGGAACCATTGATGAGCACCCTTTGGGTTCGGTCAGTCAGCCAGTTACAAATCCACTGAGTGGTAGCATAGTCAAGACCGCATTTTACCAGCTTCTTTACAAGAATATCATGGGGCACCTTGTCAAATGCCTTGCTGAAATCAAGGTAGGCTACATCCACTGCGTTCCCTTCATCTACCAGGCTTGTAATTCTGTCAAAAAACGAGATCAGGTTAGTCTGACATGACTTATTTTTCAGAAATCCATGCTGACTATTGGTGATCACAGCATTCCTTTCTAGGTGCTCACAGACTGTTTGCTTAATGATCTGCTCCAGAATCTTCCCTGGTATTGATGTCAGACTGACTGGGTGGTAATTATTTGGGTCCTCTCTTTCCCCCTTTTTGAAAATAGGGACAACATTTGCCCTCCTCCAGTCTGCCAGGACTTCGCCTGTTCTCCAGGAATTCTCAAAGATGACTGCCAGTGGTTCTGAGATCACATCTGCCGGTTCTTTTAATACTCTTGGATGCAGTTCATCTGGCCCTGGAGACTTGAATACATCTAAACTAGCCAAGTATTCTTGTATTATCTCCTTAGTTATTCAGGGCTGTGTTTCCTCTGCTGAATCATTTGCTCCAAATTCTTCAGGTCGGGCATTGTTTTCTTTATCGGAGAAGACTGAGGCAAAGAAGGCATTGAGGAGTTCAGCCCTTTCTGTGTCCCCTGTTTGCATTTCACCATCTTCTCCTCTGAGTGACCCCACTGTTTCTTTGTTCTTCCTTTTGCTACGAACATACCCATAAAAGCCTTTTTGTTGCTTTTAACCTCTCTAGCAAGCCTGAGTTCATTCTGTGCTTTAGCTTTTCTGACTTTGTGTCTACACGTGCTGGCTATTTGTTTGAATTCCTCTTTGGTGGTTTCCCCCCTTTTCCATTTTTTGTACACATCCTTTTTAAATCTTAACTAAGTTAAAAGTTCTTTAGATAGCCATCCTGGCTTCTTTAGGCACCTTCCATGTTTCCGTCTCATTGGTATTGCCTGAAGTTGTGCTTATGCTTGGCTGCTCCTTTCCGCTGTATAGTAAACTTCAGAAGAGCATGATCACTCGCGCCTAATGATCCTTCCACTTCTACCCCACTAACCAGGTCATCAACATTGGTTAGGACCAGATCTAAAATGGCTGTTCCTCTTGTTGCTTCTCCCACTTTCTGGACAATGAAGTTGTCTGCAGGGCCAGTGAGGAATCTGTTTGACCTTATGCTCTTGGCTGAGTTTGACATCCAACAAATATCCGGGTAATTGAAGTCCCCCATTACTACTATCTCCCTTCCTTTTGCATGCTTGGCCATCTGTTCCAGGAAGGCATCATCTATGTCCTCCGTTTGGCTTGGGGATCTATAGTAAACTCCCACAATGAGGTCACTGTTATTCTTCTCTCCCTTAATTTTGTCCCAAATGCTCTCACTTTGGCTTTGAGGTTCTAAATCTTGGATCTCTTCACAGGTATACACATCCCTGACATATAACGCCACTCCTCCTCCTTTCTGATGCTGAGCAACACTTCCTATCCACCCCAACCAGCCTAGTCAATGAGCAGGGATGATGGGAGTTGTGGTCCAGAAGTCTCCAGGCCCAGTCACTGAGCAGTTTGCTGTTAGCAGTTAGCAGGCTTAGGCTTGAATAACTGTGGAGGCCTTGCCTTACTTCTTCTGCTCTGCTTCTCCTCTCCAGAACCTTTGTCTCATGACACACACATGGCTTTTATAACATTCAGGAAGGGTTAAGGAATGGATATCAGAATGAATTTGGACACATTACACTTTGTAACTGTTAAGTTGTAGGTGAACAAGTTGTGGGGACGACGCAGTAATTCTTCAAACAGCTCTTGTTTATTCAGAGGCCAGAACAGAACTGAACTGAAGGGTTCAGTCAGCCTGCTTATATAGAGCTCCAGTACACATAATTGTAACAACTTTTCTAAAACTATCCAATCACTGAATGTCACTTTCGATCCCTTATTTGCATAACTATCTACAGTATCCCCCTGCTGGCCCAGGGTGAGAACCTCAGTACATAACAGTAACACTAATAATGTGTTATTAAAATGTGACGCCAGAGGGCACTGCAGAGCAACCAGAAACCAGCAGTAAGGGAAACTGCCTTGTTACAGAGGAAACAATGTAAGGAACGTTTTTATTTTACCAGTATGCCCTGTGACATTTTAGAATGATATATCTAATAATGTTAAAAAGGTCAGTGTAGATCCAGCCTTAGATCAGGCAATTTCCAGTTTGTCTTACTTTTGCACAAGTCTTGACTCATATATCTGCTCTACTCTAACCTGCCCCAAAAGGAAATAAAATCAATCCATAACTAATTCTCATTTAAATATGCATTTTTGTATGTTCCTCTCTATTAAAATGTGTCATTCTAAATGTATCTTGTTTCAAAAACACTACACATTCCGATGAGCTTGTTGAGCAAAGATCTGTACGGCAACATTTAAAGAGGTGCAAAATCTGATGGATAGTTATTGCTCACAGTCAGCTTTGGAAAATGTGCTGCAAGTCAGAATAAAATAAAATTTAAAAACCCTACATATTATAGTTGCAGTGGAGGGGCAGACAGACAGGAAATGAAGGCAGCAGCAAGAATACTGGGAGTTCCTCTCACCTGGTCACCATTTTAATCATTTTGTCAGTGGTATCATTTTGGTACAAAAGGAGAAGGAGAAATTCAATTCTGTTTGCACCTGAAGTTAAAGCAACGGGTACAAGCTATGATGCCGTTGCTCCGCCTTCTCTGGCTGGAGGCAGCAATGCTTCTGAATACCAGTTTGTGGAAACCCCCGTGGGGAGAAGGCTGCTCTGGGTCCTGCTTCAAGGTTTCCCACAGACATCTGCTTGGCCACAGTGAGAATAGTTCTTATTATGTTCTGACGTTCACTTTCTGAAAACACTACCATCCTTCAAAATGCACAGTGCTCCAAATTTTGCAATGCGGTTCTCCAGCCAAGTAATGTATGGGGGGAATGCTTGGGCAAAATGTGCATAAAAATGCATTCTATTGAGGGAAATTGCCTTGCATATAATATAAGAAGGGGGGGGATTTGAATCCAAATGCTGATGAATTTCCATAAAAATGTTTCTTTTAAACAAAAGTACACAAACTGATGTGAAAATGTAGACAACTGAATTTAACATTGGAAAAATTGTTCTCTCAGTTATGTGAGGGACACATCAAAGGAAACGCCTCCCTTGACACCAACCAGAGGCAAGATTTGTTCTTTCAATATGGCACGGACTGAGTAGGCCAGCCTTTCCTGAGGTGATTCCTCCAGAGGTTTAGCAGTGCAACTCCCACCCTTCCGTTGGCCATGCTGGCTGGGGCTGGTGGGAGTTGTGGTCCAACACCATCTGGAGGGCAGCAGGATGAGGAGGGTTGGAATTCGATCCACAGAATTAAGAAAAGTGTAGACTGATTTCACAGGAACAGGAGTCTGAAAGGAAATTCCTAGTGAAATCCGCCTTCAGCTACAGATCATCTCCTGCTGTGGGAGGGGTGGAGACCAGGTCCTTATCCCCGTTTACAGTGACTCTCAGGGAAATTCTGATGGTCTGCTTATCTGGGATAGAAGTCTCACTTAAACTGAGTAAAGATTAACATTTCCATTTTCCAGGTCTCCACTTAATGTACCGTGGATTAAGATTGACCATGGTGGGTTTTGCAGCATTGTCTCTCTTTGCGTCTGTCTCTCATTCAGATTTAAGGATCCCGTTTGCCCACAGACAATAGTCTGAATATTTCCCCATGCATCCATGCAATTTCTGTTTCTCTCCCCCCCACCCACCCTTTCTCTCTCCCACCCATAAGGGCCTACATTCATTGTCAGGCAGGAGACTGGCTATCTTTCAGTTTGCCTTTACCTTTGAGGATGAATAAAATGAAGATGTGTCTTTGTACAATCACCCTGAAACAATTTCTGATCCACAAACAGAGGGCAAAACAGGCTTTTACACTGATGTGCCCTCTCTGTGTGTGTGTGTGTGTGAGTGTGTGTGTGTGCGAGAGAGAGAGAGAGAGAGAGAGAGAGAGAGAGAGAGAGAGTGTTTAGTAGCTCTTAGAAAAGCCTAGTTTTTAGAGACACAATATAATAATAATAGTAGTAGTAGTAGTAATAATAATAATAATAATAATAATAATTCTTATTTATATCCAGCCCTCCCCAGCTGGAGCCGGGCTCAGGGCGGCTAACAACAATAAAATAATACAACATTCTAAAATCATTTCATTATAAAATTAATTCAAATCAAATTGATGGCAACCATTGGGCTAGAGTTCTGTGAAGATTGCCAAAGGAGGGAGTCAGAATAATAATAATAATAAATAAATAAATATGCAAGACATAAATGGGGTGAATATTTTTAAATACAGTGGTACCTTGGGTTACATACGCTTCAGGTTACAGACTCCGCTAACCCAGAAATAGTGCTTCAGGTTAAGAACTTTGCTTCAGGATGAGAACAGAAATCCTGCTCCGGCAGCACAGCAGCAGCAGCAGGCCCCATTAGCTAAAGTGGTGCTTCAGGTTAAGAACAGTTTCAGGTTAAGTACGGACCTCCGGAACGAATTAAGTACTTAACCCGAAGTACCACTGTACCAGCTTCTTAGTAAAGATGTCAACCTCCCTCTACTGCTTCTTGTCTTCCCTCCCTCCTTTCCAGGGTCTGGAAACCAAACTTTATGTGCAACAGTTGAGGAAGTTGGCTATGTTTAGCCTGGAGAAAAGAAGACTGAGAAGTGATAGGATGGCCATCTTCTTATATCTGAAGGTCGCAAGCAAGCTTATTTTTTGTTGCTCCAGAGGGTGTGACCCAAACCAATGTGGCCTCATTTTTAAACATTGTGTGGACATAGCTAATGCAAATTTGTCCTTAGGTTATGGTTATTTATTAGCTTAAAATCAGGGTCCTCTTAACTTAGGTGGGTTTTTAAAAATAGTTATCCCAAACTTTCTTTTTAATTGAACCATTTGTCCCCTTGATAAGAAATCACTAAATATTTATTATGGTCACCGATGAGCTGCTATGTGCAATAAAACAAATTCCATTTGATAAACAAAGAACTTCTTTTCTATTGATTGCTGCCTTCAGTGTGTTTTTACCCTCTTTTCATTCCTCTTCCATGCATACAGAGAGCCACACACCTTCCTTTTTAGAGGGAGCATGTGCGTCCTTGAGTAACAGAAGTTTTATTCTGCAAGGTTTCAGGACACAATACATTACTATAGCAACAACTGATATTTGCAGCCTGGCTTGGTCACAATTAGCAGAGCGTAATGCAAGAATATCTCCATGGATTTTGCCACGCAACAACAACTCTCAGATATTAAGAACTGCTGGCATGAAAAGAAAAATCCCCACACTGCTGGGTCCCTGAAAATAATCCTGCCGCACGATTCCCAGCCAGTTCACAGATGGAGCTGTTTTCCCCCCTAACAAAAGACGGTTGCCTGATTCCCTCCCCCAGCAACTAATGCACATCAGCTGAGGCCTCCACTCAAGCTGACTGTGTGCTGCATCCATTTGCTGTGCAGTAACCTGCCATGTGCTGATTGAAGACAAAAAGTGTGTTCTTTTGCCTAAACATGAGAGCATAAGAGCCCTGCTGGATCAGGCCAATGGCCCATCTAAGCCAGCATCCTGTTGTCACAGTGGCCAACCTGTGGGAAACTGGCAAGCAGGACCCAAGCCCAAGAGCTCTTCCCTCTTGTAGTTTCTAACAGCTAGCATCATCGTCTCCAGCTGGGACTGTCATGAAAACCCATAAGCCATCATGGCTGCTGATTGTCACACAGAGTCCTGAATTCCCAAATGCAAGCCTTTCTCTGCCCCCTCAAAAAAACTCAAATCTTTCTCCACCTTTTCAGGGAAAGAGAGAAGCACAGCCTGCTTCAGCTTCTCATTTGCATGCTCTCAGGGGCTTCTCAGCAACACGGCACACAATGGTCTGTTCAGCATCCAAACCTCTTAGGTCTCTGCCCAGTTTCTTCGCATTGCTGCTTTGCCTTTCCTTGCTAGTTTGGGAGTCTGAAGTATCACTGAGTCACTGCGCTGCCCCCCTGGGGGTTGTGGGCATTTCCTCTTTGGCGCCTGCTTTGAAAGAGAGGCAGAGAGATCTGATCCTGCAGCTTGGCTCTCTCTCTCTGGCTTAAAATGAACTGGACTAGATTCCTAGACAGGAAGGGGATTTGGGGAGATGGGGAGGGGTTCCCCGAGACAAAAATGCCTCCCTCCAAAGCGCTTTCCTGCCTGGCTTCTCATGTGGATGGGGAAAGGTAAAGGTAAAGGGACCCCTGACCGTTAGGTCCAGTCGTGGACGACTCTGGGGTTGCGGCTCATCTCGCTCTATAGGCCGAGGGAGCCGGCGTTTGTCTGCAGACAGCTTCCGGGTCATGTGGCCAGCATGGTGAACCAGAGCAGAGCACGGAAACGCTGTTAGGGAAAGGGCATTGAATTGGCTGTGCCTTCTGAAATCTGATGTGAGTCTCTCCATTTTGTGCATTTGGGTGAAGGTGAGTCCCAGGGCAGCTGGGGAGGGGATGCCTGGGATGTGGTCTCTGCAGCTGATCCATCCAGGATTTTCCCCAACACAAGGACACTGCTGTTGCTTACACATTCCTAATTTGCTCAGAAGCTTGAAACACTAAAAAAGGGAAATTTATGTATTCCCAAACTCACAAGTTTATATGTCCATAGCCCATATCATACACCTGTACATTTGCAACAATAATGATTGTTCAAAGTTATCATGCTTCTAAAATATTCATAAATGCATGATGACATCACATAGTCTCCACACACACAGTTGGTTGTATTTATTGATTTGGGGTTTTCTCCCCGCCCCCCGGGCTTCCCCAAATCCAATACATAATTTCAATGATTTCTGTGCTTCAAATACTGCAGTTTTGTGTTTCCTCTAATATCTTTTGTACTGAACCAGGAGGAAATACTCAAGCAGTGATACGGATGTAGAATAGAATGTCCCTATTTTCCTCTCAGGTATGTGGAAGGTGTGTGATGTTCCGGATATGTGGTATTCAGAAGCATTGCTGCCTCCAGCTGCGGAGGCACAGCAGAGCCACCACGACTAGCGTCCAACAATAGCCCTCTCTTCCTCCATGACATTGTCTAGTCCTCTTTTAAAGCCATCCCTGTTGGTGGCTGTCACTGCCCCCGGGGGGAGCAAATTCCACAGTTTGACTGTGCACTGCGTGAAGAAGTGCTTTCTTCCATCTGTCCTGAATCTTCCAACATTCTGCCTTATTGAATGTCCATGTTGTTGTTACCGGCTCATCAGATTTGCAGATCACACCAAAGAGAGGGGTATCTAATGCTGCAAAAGACAGAATCATGATTCACGATGACCCCAATAGATTGGAGAATTGGGCCCAAACTAACTACCATAATTTTCCGTCTATAGGACGCACCCATGTATAGGACACCCCCTATTTTAGGGGACTCAATTTTAGGAAAATGAGGGGAGGTGGCCCAAAGTTGTTGAGCCTCTCCCCCCCCCCACAGCTGGGGGCAGGGAACACTTCCTAGATCATTTCCCGTGTGCAGCAGCATCGGGGGAATTTGCGCTCCTGCCAGCCATTGCGCTATCATGCCGCCACACATGGGAAACATTCCAGGGAGTCTCTGCTGCACACAGCGGCATCAGGAGCAGTTGCGCTCCCACCAATGAGCTGGCTGGCGGCGCACAGCTTCTCCCCCCCCCACGTAACTGCAGGCAGGAAACACCCCCCAGATCGCTCCCCGCTCGCTGCGGCATCGGGGGAAGCCACGCTTCTGCCAACAAGCTGGCTGACGGTGTGCCGCTTCTCACCCCCCCATGCCACTATCCGTGTATTAGACGACCCCAGTTTTTTGACATGATTTTTGAGCCAAAAAGCCTCGTCCAATACACAGAAAAATATGGTAAATGAATGTCAGTAGGGACAAATGTCAGGTTCTTCACTTTGACAGTAGAGCGGTCTCCCTCAGGAAGTGGCAGTCTCTCATTGGATGGCCACTGGTAAGGGATTCTTCCATTATGATTCCTGCACTGCAGAGCTTAGGGACCCAATAATAATAATAATAATAATAATAATAATAATAATTTATTTATACCCCGCCCAACTGGCCAGGCTTCCCCAGCCACTCTGGGCAGCTTCCAACAAAATATTAAAATACCGTGATACATCAAACATTAAAAGCTTTCCTAAATAGTGCTGCCTACAATTTTATGATTCTGTCTGCTTGACATTATGCCGTCAGCTGCATTTATGTTAGTTAAAAGTGATTTAAAATACTTAAAGTTGCTCACCAAAGGTGGTCAGCTCTGTTTTTCACGCAGAAATGTTGTTCCCCTCACCAGCATACTAGCAGCTTTGGGTTTGTTGATCTTGACATCTTACTTAATTTGAAAAAAACAAAACAAAACAAAACAACCCCAAAACAAAACACCAAAATCAAAACAACACCCTTCTCCAACTTCTCTTTTCTTATTGTAAATGTTTCTTTCACTTCATCCTATCAACACTAGTCTCTGCAGGCAATAGATGCAAGTCCGAATTTTTTAGCATCGTGGTAGTTTAATCTTCTGTGAAATGTGCTCCCTTCATCCTGCCTATATTCACAATGTATGTATTATTAATTAAAAGGTAAAGGTAAAGGGTCCCTGGACGGTTTAGTCCAGTCAAAGGAGAATATGGGGTTGCGGCGCTCATCTCACTTTTCAGGCCAAGGGAGCTGGTGTTTGTCCACAGACAATTTTCCGGGTCATGTGGCCAGCATGACTAAACCGCTTCTGGCACAATGGGACACAGTGACAGAAACCAGAGCACACGGAAATGCTGTTTACCTTCCCACCACAGCAGAACCTATTTATCTTCTTGCTCTGGCGTGCTTTCAAACTGGCAGGAGCTGGGCTGGAGCAACGGGAGCTCACTCTGTCACGGGGTTTCAAACCACTGACCTTTTGATTGGCAGACCATGTGGTTTAGACCACAGCACCACACTGGTAGGTAAATGGTACTACTACTGCTAATAATAATAATAATGTTTTATACCACCTAATCAACGGTGTTCTCGAAGTTGGGAACCTTCTTTGGTCTGAGGGCCACATTCCTTCACGAGAACTTTCCAGGGGCTGCATGTCTATGGCTGTGGCTGTGACTCTTGTCTTTGTGCACTGAGACTCTACTCCAGCAATGGAAAACTCAGAGACAAACCACACACACTCCTTTACACGTTCCATCCTCAAATCTGTAGAAGCAAGAGGCATTATCACAAATCAATGGCACATTCCTTTCTACCCCATTTGGCAATGCAAATGCAAGAACCTCTACAATGGTCTTTTCTGTCCCTTGGCTGAGACAAGCTAGCATCCATTGCTAAGGAAAAGGGGAGCCTCCGTAGACAGGACCTTATGAGGACAATGAAGGCTTGCCTGTAGAGCAAAATGTTCCTCCAGTCCTGTACTCAAGATCATCAAAATTTACCTGAGCAGCTTCTTTGGCAATCCCTCGTAGCCAAGTAAGAATGTCTTCTATGAACACAGTCTTAATAGTGAGTCCATAAGTGACTGTGGAGGCCAGCTCTGGATGCACATGTCCTTCCACAGTGGGGACATAGCTGTTATGAACACGACAGCCCAAAACCAAGGACAGCCTGAGATGGAAGGCAGGCAGGCAGAAGGAAAACAGAGAGACTTGCAAATTTCTCAGACAGCTGGAACTAGTGGGCTGACGCCATCTCCTCCCTCTGAAGCTGGCAGGAATGTGGCTTATCGGCTCAGGAAAGGTGGGCTGAGGAATAATAATAATAATAATAATAATAAATTTTATTTATACCCCGCCCTCCCCAGCCGAAGCTGGGCTCAGGGCGGCTAACAACAATCAAAATAATCCAACATTCTAAAAACCTTTCATTATAAAAATTAATTAAAATCAAATTGATGGCAACCATTAAGCAAAATTCTGTGCAGATTGCCAGAGGAGGGGGTCAGGCTGCGCCCTGACCAAAGGCCTGGTGGAACAGCTCTGTCTTACAGGCCCTGCGGAAAGATGTCAGGTCCCGCAGGGCCCTAGTCTCTTGTGACAGAGCGTTCCACCAGATTAGAGCCACGACCGAGAAAGCCCTGGCTCTAGTTGAGGCCAGCCTAGCCTCAGCTTTCTGAGGAATCACAGACACTCACGGCACAAGGAAGGGAGAGCATTTCCTCACCGGGAGAGGAGGTAGCTGACCCCATCATTCCCAGGACTAGATGAAGGGGGAAGGTCCAAGACAGAAGATGACCTCCGAAATGTAAGGGTAGGAGGTTCAGGATATTCTGCAGTAGCCGGAAGTATTCTTCAGAAGGGTCAACTTGATTGTGATGGATGGTCGCTTGGAGAGAGCGGTTGGAGGCTAATTGCTTGTATACAATAAATCTTCTGTTAATTACCTCTTGTGTGCTGTTTTCTCAAGCCAGCAGCCGGCCAGCTCCTGAAAATTGGTTTCCAGGCGGGAGTTGGTTACGGTGAGGGTTTGCCAAATGTGCCTTCCTCTTAGCACGTTTCTCCCTTTTGTCCTGAGTTCAAGTGTCTTTAAAGTCTTTGACACCTTTGGTAAAGGCTGTTCTCCAGTTGGAGCACTTGCAGGCTAGTGTTTCCCAGTTGCTGGTGTTTATCCTACATTTTTTTTTATTTGCCTTGAGAGAGTCTTTAAACCTCTTTTGTTGACCACTAGCATTATGCTTTTCATTTTTAAGTTCAGAATAGAGTAGTTGCTTTGGAAGATGATAATCAGGCATCCAAACAACATGATCAGCCCAACGAAGTGGATGTTGAAGAATCATTGCTTCTACACTAGTGATATTTGCTTCTCCGTCCTCCACCAGTTTCTCCGTCCTCCACCAGTCACAGACTGTGGGCCGGGGGGGGAGGGGTGGCATTATTAATCCGGGAAGATTGTCCTTTCAGGGATCTACCATTGCCATCGATCCCCGGCATTGAATGTGTTGGCCTAGTGTGGGGCTCCGAGGAGAGCTTGGCTGTCTGGCTGGTGTACCGGCCACCTAGCGCACCAGCAGCCACCCTGTCAGGCCTATTGGAGGTGGTGGCCGGCTGGGCCTTGGAGTTCCCTAACCTATTGGTATAGGGGGACTTCAACATCCATGCTGATGCCACTCCCTCCTCACAGGCTCTGGACCTGGTGTCTTCCATGGCGTCACTAGGGCTCTCCCAGTTTGTTTCGGGCCCCACACATCAAGCAGGCCACACACTGGATTTGATCTTTGGCGTAGGTATAGATGTGATCATGTCTCCTTCGATGAAGGTGCCATGGTCCGATCACTACGCTCTGAAAGCCAGGATTGACTTCCCACCCCCACCCTGCTTAGGTGGCGAGCCGATTTGGGCTCGCCCACAGAGGCTGATGGACCCTGATAGATTCCGCCAAGCCTTGCGGGACCTTTCTCCCCCTGGCGACTCATTGAATGAGCTTGTTGAGGGCTGGAATATCCAGCTCCTGGCAGCCATCGATGAGATTGCACCTAAGCGCCCTCTGCGACCCCGCAGAAACCGGGCTCCCTGGTTTACCGAGGAGCTCCGGAAAATGAAGCGGGACCTCAGACGGCTAGAGCGAGTATGGCGGGGTGCCCGTGACGGAGCCTCAAGAACATCTTACAGGGCTTTTATGAAAACCTACGAGATGGCGGTGAAGGCTGCTAAGAAGTCTTACTTCTCAGCCTCCATTGCATCTGCTAGCTCTCACCGGGCGCAATTATTTAGTATAATCAGGTCTTTAACGTCCCTTGAGGGACAGCCAAATTTAAATAATAATTTGACACACAGCTGTGAGGCATTTGCGAGCTTTTTTGCGGAGAAGGTCTTGTTGCTCCGCCATGACCTCCCTGCCAATTTGGATACAATAAAGGAACTGGAGGCCCCTCAACTGTCCTCGGGTCCAGTATTGGACCACTTCAACCGGATATCCCCAGCCAATGTGGACAGACTCCTCCGAGCTGGAAAGCCCACCACCTGTCCTCTCGACCCGTGCCCGTCTTGGCTGATTAGAGCGTGTCCAGATGAGGTGCGGGCCCTCCTGGGGGATATCATCAATTTGTCCCTTGGCATGGGGACATTCCCAGGGGAACTGAAGGAGGCAGTGGTGCGCCCACTCTTAAAGAAAACATCATAAGATCCTTTAGATCTATCCAATTACCGCCTGGTTTCGAATCTTCCGTTCCTGGGTAAGGTGATTGAGAGAGCAGTTGCTGAACAGCTTGGTGGGTTTCTGGATGAAACATCGGCTCTGGATCCATTCCAGTCCAGCTTCCGCGCTGGTCATGGGACCGAGACGGCTCTAGTTGCCCTAACAGATGATCTTCATAGACAGCTGGATTGAGGTGGGTCGGGGCTGCTGATTCTTCTAGATCTGTCAGCAGCTTTCGACATGGTCGATCACGAACTTCTGGACCACCGCCTTGCCGACGTGGGGATCCAGGGCACAGTCCTTCAATGGCTGTGCTTGTTTCTCTCTGGTCGGGGACAGAGGGTGGCGCTTGGGGGGCAATTGTCATCGCGCCACTCCTTGGTGTGTGGAGTACCTCAGGGTGTGATACTCTCCCCGATGCTTTTCAACATCTTTATGCGCCCCCTCACCCAGCTTGTCTGGAGTTTTGGGCTGGGTTGCCATCAGTATGCTGATGACACCCAACTCTATCTGTTGATGGATGACCATCCTGACTCGGCCCCAGACACACTGACCAGATGTTTGGAAGCTGTGGCTGGATGGTTACGTGGGAGCTGGTTGAAGCTCAATCCTTCGAAGACAGAGGTCCTGTGGCTGGGACGGGACGATATGGGATTGGGGGGGCAACTCCCATCTCTTGCAGGGGCGCAATTAGTGCCAGCACCGTCCGTTAAGAGTTTGGGTGTAATCTTCGACACCTCCCTTTCCATGGAGGCGCAGATTGCAGCTACAACAAAGGCGGCATTTTTCCATCTCCGCCAAGCTAAGCAGTTGGCTCCTTACCTCTCTCACCCTGACCTAGCCACTGTGATCCATGCGACGGTCACCTCCAGACTGGATTATTGTAACTTGCGCTACGTGGGGCTGCCCTTGAGACTGACCCAGAAACTCCAGCTGGTGCAGAATGCTGCAGCGAGACTCCTTAGGGGTCTTCACTGCGAGATCACATTCACCCAGTGCTATACCAGCTGCACTGGCTCCCGGTGGAGTAAAGGATCAGGTTTAAGGTGCTGGTTTTAACCTTTAAAGCCCTATACGGCCTAGGACCCTCGTTCCTACGGGACCGCCTCTCCTGGTATGCCCCACAGAGAAACTTACGGTCTTCAAATAAAAACATCTTGAAGGTCCCAGGCCACAGAGAAGTTAGGCTGGCCTCAACTAGAGCCAGGGCTTTTTCGGCCGTGGCTCCGATCTGGTGGAACACTCTGTCACAAGAGACCAGGGCCCTGCGGGACTTGACATCTTTCCGCAGGGCCTGCAAGACAGAGCTGTTCCACCAGGCCTTTGGCCAGGGCACAGCCTGACTCCCTCCCTCGGCAATCTTCGCGGAGCTCTGGCCCAATGGTTGCCAGTGGCTTGAATTAATTAATTTTATAATGAATGATTTTAGAGTGTTGTTTGTGCTGTACTTTTGTACTGTTTTATTGTTGTTAGCCGCCCTGAGCCCGGCTTCGGCTGGGGAGGGCGGGATATAAATAAAATTTATTATTATTATTATTATTATTATTATTATTATTATTATTCCAGCACACTGGCATTAGTTCGCATGTCTTCCCAAGTGATGTGTAAATTTTTCAGAGACACCATTGATGGAACAGGGCCACCATTAATGGTTGGCATGCTCAGGTGACATATATTTTTTTATATAAATGGTGTAAACAGGAACGTTTTGGATTCTTAGATCACAGACTGCAGTTTCTTGAAGATGGACTTCTGGCAAGCGATGGGCTGCACCTCACAACGGTTGGGAGGAATGTTTTTGCCAAAAATCTCAGAAACCTCATCAGGAGGGCTTTAAACTGACTAATGTGGGGGAGGGAGACAGTGCTCCTGAAGGTAGGAGTCTATCAATTGATGAAGATGATCATCCAATTTGTGGTGGGAGGAAAAAATCCTTAAATAAGAGACACGGGGGAATGATTAATGGACTTCAATGTCTGTACACTAATGCGCAAAGCATGGGAAATAAACAAGATGAGCTTGAGCTCTTGGTACAGCAAACTAAATATGACATAATAGGCACCACTGAAACCTGGTGGGATAAGTCCCACGATTGGAATGTAATAATGGAGGGATACAATCTATTTCAGAGAAACAGACCAGACCAGAAAAGGAGGAGGAGTGGCGTTATATGTCAGGGATGTGTATACCTGTGAAGAGATCCAAGATTTAGAACCTCAAAGCCAAAGTGAGAGCATTTGGGTCAAAATTAAGGAGAGAAGAATAACAGTGACCTCATTGTGGGAGTTTACTATAGATCCCCAAGCCAAACGGAGGACATAGATGATGCCTTCCTGGAACAGATGGCCAAGCATGCAAAAGGAAGGGAGATAGTAGTAATGGGGGACTTCAATTACCCGGACATTTGTTGGATGTCAAACTCAGCCAAGAGCATAAGGTCAAACAGATTCCTCACTGACCTTGCGGACAACTTCATTGTCCAGAAAGTGGGAGAAACAACAAGAGGAACAGCCATTTTAGATCTGGTCCTAACCAATGTTGATGACCTGGTTAGTGGGGTAGAAGTGGAAGGATCATTAGGCGCGAGTGATCATGCTCTTCTGAAGTTTACTATACAGTGGAAAGGAGCAGCCAAGCATACTAGGACTCAATTTCTTGACTTTAAGAAAGCCGACTTCATAAAACTTAGGGAAGTGCTGGGTGAGATCCCATGGACAGTAATACTAAAAAGAAAGGGAGTTCATGATGGCTGGGAGTTTGTTTGTTTGTTTGTTTGTTTGTTTTTTAATAAAAAAAATTATTTATACAACAAGAAAAACAAACAAACAAAAAACACAAATACCGAATTACACACAAATTACAAAAATAACCATAGACACTTAATATTCTTAGCAAACAATAAAACATCTGTTGGTCTTAACACTAAAGACCCAACCTCCCGTCTATTACATACTTCAAATTCATATTACTTATTGCCAATACACTTTTTTTTTCATAATTAAACTTATTCTCATTAAATCTAATTTCTTATATCTACCTTGCAACTATTACTGAAGTTCCTCGAATGCTGCAACAGAATTTAAACTACTATATTTATTTTTCAGATATTCTTTAAAAACCTCCCATTTAGAAACAAATTCCTGTTTTGATTTATTTTTATTTTTCTGATAAACCATCTAATTCAGCATATTCTGTCAGCTTTTGGATCCAATCTTGAATAGAGGGGATTTCATTACTCTTCCATTTTGCTGCGATCAAAACTCTTGCTGCCGCCGTCACATATAAAAGATACCCTTCCTCTTTTGTGGAATATCCAAATCTGTTATTCCCAGGAGGTAGGCCTCTGGTTTTTATTGAAAGAGATCTTTAGCATTTTTTTGCAGTTCTGCATGTATACTCTCCCAGAATACCTGTATTTTCCTACATATCCACCACATATGGTAGAATGTTCCTGAGTCTCCGCATCTCCAACAATTACTTGATACATTTTTATACATTTTTGAAAGCTTCCATGGTGTTAGATACCATCGATGTTGCATTTTTGAAAGTTCTCTCTAATCGTGTAACAATTTGTGAATTTCCAATTGATCTTCCATAAATTTTCCCATTGGGCCATGGTTATTGAGTGGCCAAAATCCTGGGACCACCTCACCATTGCCACTGTTACCTCCTCCTCCTTGACTGTCCAGTCAAGGAGGAGTCGGTAAGTTTTGGAAAGAGTTTTTCTTTTAGAATTTAGAAGATCAGATTCAAATCGGGAAATTTCTGTTGAGAACCCCTTTTGTTTGTCAGATTTAAATTTTTCAAATAACTGATGGTATTGGAACCAGTCTGAAATGTGGTCTCTTATTTCCTCAAAGTTTTTAAATTTTATTTGGCTATCTTCATTTTTTAGAAGTATTTTATATGTTGGCCAGCTTTCCTGAGTATTTTTCCGTTTTACTGCTATGGCTTCTACTGGAGAAGTCCACCACGGGACTTTAGGCTCCATCAGGTCTTTATATTTTTCCCATACAGCAAAGAGTGACTTTCTTATTATATGGTTGGTAAAGTTTTTATGAATTTTCGCTTTTCCATATATTAGGTAGGCGTGCCATCCCCAACGGTTGTCAAAACCTTCCAGGTCGAGGAGGTCCGAATCCTGCAACGTGCACCAATCTTTTAGCCAGGTGAAACATGCTGCCTCGTAGTAAAGTTTTAGGTCGGGTAGGGAAAAGCCTCCTCTCTCTTTTATGTCTATTAAGATCAGGTGTTTAATCCTAGGTTTCTTCCCTTCCCACAGGAATTTGGAAATTTCTCTTTGCCATATCTTGAGACAACCTGCTTCGCCCAGTATTGGAATCATTTGAAATAAAAAGATTAATTTTGGAAGTACATTCATCTTTATAATGGAAATCCTACCCAGAAATGTTAATTTTAGTTTACTCCAGGTTACAAAGTTTTTTCTAATCTCTAACCAAGTTTTGGTGTAATTATCCTGAAATAAGTTTATGTTCTTGGGGGTGATCCAAATACCCAGGTATTTCGCTTTTGAGGAGATTTTCAGGCCCAATATTTTTTCTAAATCGTCCTTTTCTTCTGTGGTTACATTTTTAACAAGCATTTTTGTTTTTGTTATATTCAGCTTGAAGCCTGCCACTTCTCCAAATTCTTTAATCAATTCCAGCACTCTTTTCAGACTTTCTTTAGGGTTTTCAGTCATAACAAGTAGATCGTCCGCGAAGGCTTTAATTTTATATGTTTTGTTTCCCAGAGTGATGCCTTTAACAAGCTGATCCCTTCTTATCTGATTGTTCAAGACTTCCATCACCAAGATAAATATCAGTGGTGACAGTGGGCAGCCCTGTCTGGTTCCCTTGTTTATTTTGCACTCCTCAGCAATTCTTCCATTGATGATCAATTTTGCATATTGTTCCGAATAGATGGCATTTATTCCTTTACAAATATTTTCTCCGATTTCTTCCATTAATTTTTTCATAAACTTCCAGGACACATTATCAAAAGCTTTTTCAGCATCCACCAACATAATAGCTGCTGGTTTATCAATTTTAATATCCAAATATTCTAATACATTAATCACACATCTAATATTGGATTGCATAAATCGTCCGGGAAGAAATCCAGTTTGATCTTTATGAATTATCTCTTTCAGCACCATTTTTAATCTATTTGCAAGAATGTCTGCGAATATCTTGTAATCGTTGTTTAGCAGTGCAATGGGTCTTTAATTGGCCATGTTTGAGGCATCTGTTCCCTGTTTGTGGATAAGAGTAATAAAGCTGTCCTTCCAGGTTTTCGGTAGCTTTCCATTTGCCAAAATGTTATTCATTAGGTCTTTCATGGGAAGAAATAATGCTTGTTCTAACTTTTTATAGTAATTAGCTGGGAGACCATCTGGGCCTGGTGTCTTTCCTACTTTTGATCTCTGCATAGCTTGTTGCACCTCCATAGCTGTTATTGGTGAGTTCAAGATTTCAGTTTTTTCCTTAGGTATTATTGGTAGTTTATTTTTGCCCAAATAATCAATTATTTTTTCTAGAGTCTCTGGGCCTTCTTTATATAGTTTTCCGAAAAAACTAGCAAAGTTTTTACTAATTTCCTTCGGTTCTTGAATCCACTTGTCTTCAATTTTAATTTTATTGATAATTCTATCTTCCTTTTTCTTCTTTAATTGCCAGGCCAAAAGTTTGCCAGGTTTATTTGCAAACTCAAAATTTCTATGTCTCAACCATTTTATCTTCCATTCTATCTCTTCATTTATTATCATGGAGAATTGCGTCTGTAAAATTTTTATACTTTGCTTAATTAGTTCATCATCTGGTTTTTGGAAAAGGATCCTTTCCTTTTTTTCTAATTTCCTCCCATATCTCCATTTTCTTCTTCTCCCTTATTTTCCTTTGGAATGCGTTTTGTTGGATAAAGAAGCCTCTTATGACGGCTTTACCCGCATCCCAAACCGTCTCTAGATCTACTCCTTGATTTAAATTGAACTTAAAATATTCTTCTAAGATTTGCTTGGCCTTCTGTACAGTTTTTTATCATTTAGCATACTCTCATTAAGTTGCCACCTTTTAACCTTTTCTTCTTTTCCTTTAAAGTTAACCCAGACCGCGCTGTGATCTGAAATTGTCCTTGGATGAATTTCTGCTTTTGTAATATTATTTAATAAATCCTTTGCTGTCCAGATCGTGTCGATTCGTCCCGCCGATTTGTGTGGCTCTGAATAATGTGTAAATTCTTTCTCCGTTGGATTCTTAAACCTCCAAGCGTCAAACAAATTCGGGAGTTCTATTAATTGGAAAAATGTAGTTGGGAGTTTGTTCTGCCTCTTTTCTTTCTTATTTATTGTTCTGTCCATGTTTGGATTGACTACTCCATTAAAATCTCCTAATAATATAATTTCCCCCCCTAAATATTCTATGACTTTTTCTTCCAGGTATTGATAGAATTCGGATTTTCTTTCATTTGGTGCATAAATTCCAATAACTATCACTTTTTCATTATTGATCTTAACCTCTATAATCACTGTTCGACCTTTTTCATCACTGTAAAGCAGTTTGGGCTCCAGCTGAGGTTTTACATAGATTACCACCCCTCTCTTTTTTTCTTTACTTGATGTAATAAACTCAAGCCCCAATCTCTTATTTATTAATACTCTTTTATGTTTTTCTGCTACATGGGTTTCTTGCAGACAGATTAAATCATATTTTTGCTTAACCAGAATATGTTCCACCTTGTTCCTTTTTGATTTTTCATTTAGACCATTTACGTTCCAAGTAATAAATTTATAATCCATACTTTATTTCTTATGATACGTCAACGGGTTTAAAAAATAAAATAAAAATTACACATTCAAGGTCTCAGTCTACGTTTAGTAAATTCCCTTCTTAGATCTGTCTCCTAACTCTCAACTGTTTGTTTAATTTCCTCTGATTCTCCGAACAATTGCCTTTTTCCTCCGAGCTCTTTCCGATACTTTCTCCAGAATTTATCCGCATCTAGTGCCGACAAGCACTTCCTACGTTTCCCTTTAAAGAAAAAGGAGATGCCTTCAGGGTACTCCCACCTATAGTCCACTGCCTTTGCCTTTAGTGCCTCGGCCAGAGGTCTGTAAGCTTCTCTCTTTTTTATCAACCGATTTGGGATAATCTTATGGACAATAATATCATTTCCTTCCGATTGGAATTTCTTCTTGTTACTAGCTTGTAAAATTCTATTTCTGAAATCCGTAGAATTAAAAGAGACTAAACAGTCAGCCGGCCAGTTACTTGCTTTTGCTACATTAGATTTGACTCTGAATGCTTTTTCTATTTTTTGTGCTACTTCTGCTTCTTCTAGGTCTAGCCAAGCTGCTAGCTCTTTTGAGATTTTTTTCTCAATTATTTCCTCTGCGTCCTCTGTTAGTCCTCTGAATCTTAGGGTATTCTCCCTTCTCTGCATTTGCAACATCGCAATAGAGTCCAAAGTTGAATCTTGCTGCGCTTTCAGATCTGCTGTTTCTTTCCTTATCTTATCACATTCCCTTTTCAACTCTCTATTTTCATTTTGTAATTTTTTCTGAGCTTCCTCTAGGTTCTGTGTTTTACTTTTAAGGTCTAGCACTATTTTCGTTAGTTCTGAATTTTTTTGTACTAAATTGTTGACCTGAGTTGATAACTCAGCTGCTATTTTCACATTTTCATCTATTTTAACTCCCATTGAAATAAGTTTTTCTTCTGTTGCCTTTGCCTTTTCATTTACATTATTTTTTAAATCTTGGATATCTTTCTTCAAACTTAAAATTAATTCTCTCATATCTAGTTGTTGATCCATGTCAATTACAGAAGTTCTCCTGGTTTGTGAGACTGAAACTGCCACAGAACCTGACACAGTTTTTTTTTACCATACATCTCTAAGAAATTCAATTAGCTCACTAGGTAATTTGTTCTCTTTCTTTCTGTCTTACAGCTTGGATGTCAATTAAATTCAATCTTTCTTAATACAAGCGTAACAATATTTCCAATGTGATAATTAATGAATGTCAATTAAATTCAATCTTTCTTAGTACAATCACGACAATTTTACCAGTCTGATAATAATCTCCGGCCTATGTATCCACTAATTCTTTATATTCACCAGTTTCACTAAATATATTTTAAATTGATTATGAACAATTATCTAATTAATTACAGCCAAGCATCAATACAGCAATATCACAAATTCATCAGATCAAATAAATAAATATAATAAATGGTTGCAATCCTTGCGTTCACTTACTCATTCAGGGTGATAGATCATATATATAAATCTTTAAACAGGTTAGCGGTTCAGTTAATCAGCACCTTGCAACAAAGCTAATGACATCTGATGCAAATATCAGCTGCGTTAGCTACCAATAGATAGCAAAAGGCAAAGCAAACAAAAAAAAAACAGAAACAAAAAAACACACAAAACAAAACCACACAAGTCGAAAACCACACAAAAACACAACAAGAAAAACAACAAAAATGAAACGGAGAGACAAAATGAACAAAACAAAAACCCAAAAAAACCCAAAAAGAGAATTACAAAAGAAAGAAACAAAGAAAAGAAAACAAAGAAAAAATGGGAGGGTAAGAAAAAAATAAAGCAAGAGAAAGTAATAATAATAATGCAATTTATAATTTGTAAAGAAATAAAGAGGGGGAAGAAAATACGAAAAGTATATATAAATAATAAGAAAAGAGCTGGGGAGTATTTTCAATTAATAATGTACAATGCAATAATATTATGTGCTATTAAGTTCTCTCTAGATGTTACTCTTCCAGATGCAAAAGGAATGCTATTCCAGTAATGGGGTATAGGGTCTATTAAATTTTATAAAACCTTGTCTCTTTCAGCAGATTATGATGCAGCGCTTTGGGATCTTCACTAGTTGCAGATCTTGTAAAAATCCCTGTAATTGTTCTTATAAGACTTATTAGAGGAACGTCTTTTTCAAAAGAGTGCAAAGTGTTTTTTCTCACCAGCTGGTGTCGCTGTTAGAGTTGCTCCCTCTCTGCGATTTTCAACTCCCTTCTCAATCTATGTCAGTCTATGTCAGTCTCATGCAATTCATTTCCGTTCCTCAAACCAGGAAAATGTCGGTCTAAGAAAATGTCGGAGGGCGTGAGTCAGCAGAAGTACCCTTAGCCGTTGTTAAATTGATTTATACTCCGTTGAGCGTCCGTAGCAGTTCGCAGCCAAAAACAAACAAAAATCCCCAGAAAGGAGGGATAGCAACACTTTGTGGGAGAGGGGAGGCGATGCTTATCAGTTTTGTGACAATTTTATAACTTTGTAATCAATCACCCTCTCATTCACCGCTGTTCTCTGAGAGTCCCTGGCTCTTATATTCCTTTTGCCAGCGTAAACAGACAGTTGAGTACTAGCTTGTGAACAACAGATTAATTTTGTACTGAAGAGTTTGGAAACCTCTTTATAATTTCACCACTTGGGAAAGGTCTTTTTATTATTATTATTATTATTTCTTCTTCATGACTTCTTGGTTTATTTCTGTCACAACAATAATGAAGCCACTGGTATTCTTTTTGTTCATAACTCCAGCAGGAAAAGATGGCTAAAACGTCTTAGGTATTAATGGAATAGACATCTTTTTTAAAAAAAAACAGTCTGATATAGCTTGTAAGTAAATCTTGGTCAGTTGCAAAAAGCCATTTAGGTTCAAACACTTTGTTTTAGGTTCAAACGTTTTGTTTTAATCATAAATTAGCAAGTTCAGTAAGTAAAATAGGCTAATCGTTTAGGTTTGCTTCAGTTTGTTAGAAGTGTAGCCACAGACATACCCACGGGCTCGGACTTCTCGTCAGCG